TGGCTCAAAAATTTAAATGCAATGTCAATCGTCGACTTTTGTCTTCTTAAATTTTGTTCTTATATTGTCCCTCTCTCCTTAATAATGTTTTTGTCTTGGACTCTTTCATTCTCAGTAACCTTTTTCATCTTATTGCCTTGCTTGGTATGTAATGATAAAAAAAAACAAGCCCAAATTAAGAGAGCAGTCGGTGGGGATCAAACTCACTTGTAATAACTTTCAAGACAAACCTTCAAACCATTACTTAAAATCTATGCTTTTGTCCTTATGTGTGAGACAATGGTTCAAAAGGAATGTACTTCTTTTGTGAGTTCAATTACTTAAAAAATTCTTCATTTACTTGTACAGAAATGGCATCATTGAACAGAATCTGAATTCCAGCTGAGATTGTTTGTACACAAAATGAATTGTCACGTTGCCAAATAGACTGGCACAATGATTCTGTTATCAACATGTCATGATGGTGGATAAATTGACACTATTGCAGTTTTTAACTCAGTACCTGTGCTTATCACACAACAATTTATTTCTATCTTAATAGTAAATCTAAGTGATTTGAGAAGGTTAAATTGGCAGCTGATCTAAAAAAGTGATCTACATTCTCACTGCAAGGAATGGTTAGTTAATTTTAACATCTCCAAAATGAGACCGCTATCATTTAATAATCTGAGAGAACCCTTTTTACCTTCCATCAGCCATGCTGATGCTAACCTCAAAGAGAGTAACATATTATGCCTTCTCAGATTAACTTTTCCTTTAAAGTGGAAAGATTATATTGAATCAATTACTAGGTCTGCTGCTAGGAAAGTTGATTCCCTGTGTCATGCTAGACAATTTTTCTCAACAAAATCTATCTTACATATTTATAAGCCTACTATTCCTTCTTGCTTTGAATATTGCTACCACATCTGGTCTGGTGCTGCTGCTATTATATATTTAGAGATCCTTGATAAAATTCAAATAATGTGCAATTTTATTGGTCTTGACCTGGCATCTCAGCTCCAGTTACTTTCCCACTGTCATAAATATTTTCATGGTAATTGTTCTGAGGAACTTTCCTTTATTATACCTCGACTTTATGAATTTAAGTGCAGTACTAGATTGGTGGCAATGTCTCATCATTTTACAGTTGAAATGGCTTGATTTAAATCTTTATTCTCACAGTCACTGATATCTCTCTCTTCTCTTTTCTATTCTCCTCTGTATATATTGATATAAATATCTATTTATTGGAATTTCTGGATGACTGTTAATTATTCCAATAGTATATACATATACTTCAATAGTGTATATATATACTACAATAAGCATCAGCCTGCCTGCATGTGAAAGAAAAGATTTTTCGGTTTCAGCATCATCGAAACTGTGACTTTGAAAGAAAAGAATTTCTGTAATTATCACGGGACTATGACGTTGCCATACTACATCACGTGACTTATGAAGTAATCAAAAAAATATACACATTACAAGTAAAGATCTATTGGCAAGAGGCACTTAATGCATCAGCTCTAAGTTAAAGCCACTAGTATTCTATTTTATTCTAAAACTACCATGCTATCAGCTATAGGTGTGTAACAGTACCCCTCTTAGGGGTACTGTAACGTTTTAAGTTCTATGCTAACAGTTTGTTCTATCACCTCTACCTCTTGCTTGTGGAACTCTTCAGTTTCTTGCTTCCGTTGTTAAATGGGGTCAAAAAGAGGTCACCTGTTTACTGTACCTATGTATATCTTTTGGACTCTTACACAAACCAAACCTTAGAAACAAAGAAAAGAGTACTGAAATGTTACATAATATCAGTCCTCCAATATGGCAGTAAATGCTGGGCAATTTACTAACAGATGAAAATGTGACTTGAAGCAACCAACCTGTAGTTCTACAGAAGGATGCTGAGAATACCATGGACCAAACATGTGAGCAACAACAAAGTTTTAGAGAAAATGGAAATAAAAAAGACACTTAGACTTAACATCAAGAAGAGACAGCTGAAATTTCTAGGGCTCATAATGAGGAAATGTGATGGGAAACTTGATACTCACAGGACAGATCGAAGGCAAGAGGGACAGAGGAAAACAATGCATCACCTACTTAGTGACCTCATTTCACATTGTAAATACTCCTGCAGAACATTTCATATTCTTTTCAGATTTGATGAAAACAAATATAAAAATCAGCCATAGTATTTTAAGAAAATAAACAGTTTTGAAAAATCACATTGCAAACATCTATTCTATAATTACAATTCAGCAGATTTGATTGACTAAATAACATAACTAACAAGATTGTGTAAATAAATGGATGGCAGAATAGAGTTAAGGAGAGATAAAAAAAGACAAAATTTATTAAGAGCTACAAAGGATGGGAAATTGTGGAGAGCCAATGTCCTGAAAGGAGATGGCACATAAAAGAAGAATTATATAACCTAGAATAGGTTGATATACTGTAAAACAAATTACTAAGAAAACTGCTAAGAACATACACACAATCTCTCTCTCTCTCTCTCTTTTACACACACTTTATGCTTAATGTTTTCTTTTAATAAATGTTTGGAGATGAAAGCCTTTACTGTTTTTCATCTGGCTGGTAAGAGTTTCTTAGAATCAATCTAAGTTTTTCAACTTGCAACCAACTTTGGCACCATGCTGCCATAGGTGGCTTGCAGCCATTTTAAAGAATTGGAAAAAGAAATCTTGTCAAAATGTCTGATAGTTACTTTGGTAAAAGCCTTTGCCTATTGATTTGTGGTAGATTATACTCATACAGGCACTTACACATGCGATACAAATACCCCGCACATGTATGGGTAAAAATTCACACATGCAATACAAATATCCCCCCCATATATATATATATATATATATATATATATATTTGTTTGGATTGATGTGAGTTTGTGACCCTGGGTTTCACACGCTTTTGCGATCGTCAGAAAAATATCTCTGATATTGAGTGCTTTCTAATAAGTACCATGCATATAATATATAAATAATTATATATATATATATATATATATATATATATATATATTTATATGCACACACTTTTCACACACACATATATATATATATATATATATATATATAGCGAGACTCTTCGCAAAAAGTGAATTGAGTCACTGTCGGTCACTGTGTGTGTTTATCTAAAAATAAATACGCTAAAATTCACCTTCATCCCTGCCGCACTGACGGCTTAGTGGTAGAATCTCCGACTGACACCAATTCAGTCAGGTTTCGATTCTAGCTAGAGGCAACCGGATGTCTACCACGCTGAAGAGCTGTGAAACAGCTAAACAGTCTGTCTGTGGATGACTTTATATATATATATATATATATATATATATATATATATATATATATATATTTTTTTGTGTGTGTGTGTATGTGTGTGTGTGTAAAATTTCAGCTAGAGCATATCTGTAAAAGGACAATATGAATAAAGATAAATGAAAAATATTTCTTAATGGATGTGATTGCCTTGATAAAGTCCCTCAGAGGATGAAATGTGTTGTGTAAGAAAAGTTATCCTTTTGTTTTTATACAAACATATATACATCAAAATATAGTTTTAAGGTATGCTATAATTATAGATTAAAGTGCTCAATATCAGGGATAGAGTGTATGGAAAGGCCTGATGATTGTATTTAGCATGGAATAGACTGTTGCATCTGAATGTTGATTTCAATGTCCACTTATATACTTATATATAAGACTAGCAGTAGAGCCCGGCGTTGCCCGGGGATGTAACAGTAAGAGATAGATCAAGTATCGACCATCATAATAACTGAAAAATAAAATTGACAAAGAATATTGTTTAAGATTGACAGACACGCATGTCTTAATTAGTTTTTTTTATTTTTTATTTACGAATTGGTCAAACCCAAACTCAAACAAAAACATTGTTTTCAATCGTTATGAGTCTACCGATTGAATAGAATTTTATTATAAACAATTGTCTTGCAAATGGAATTTTTAAAGCATTCTGAATGTAAAATTAAAGAAAAAAGTGTGCAAGACAATAAGAAACACTACCTGCCAAAAAAAAGTGAAGTTTTGTTGAAATCGGTTGAAAAATGTAGGAAATCTGATCCCATATATAAACGAACACAAACAACCTGGGTTTTATAATAATTATAACTCGATATGAGTTGTCCCCCTTTCATTCTCGACAGCGATGCCTCTTAATCGTGTTTTCAAATTGATTTTGTGCAAAAACAATTGTATTTTTTCAATTTTTGGTGCTGTCAGAACCACCACAAGGTAATTTTACATAGTCCTGTGAAGTTTTGTTGAAATCGGTTGAAAAATGTAGGAAATCCGATCCAATATATAAATGTACAGACACACACACACACACAACCTGGGTTTTATAATAAGTATGATGTATCATTGTTGGTAGGTAGGTCAGTATATTTCTGCTATTTTTTTACTTTATGATAACTACTGTGGAATCTCACTGTTGTTGGTTGTTGGCAAAATCTTTAAGGATAATTCTCAAGTGATTGTTGGACCATGTTGTACCAAACATTCTGTCAGAGTCACAATGTAGCTTTAGGCCAAATTGAGGTGCAACAGATATGATATTTATGACTCAAGAAGTTCAAGAGAAGTGTAGAGAGCAACATTTTGAACTTGCCCAGTGCTTCATTGATCTCACCAAGACCTTTGACACCATGCATAGACCACTGCTTTGGAGTATCCTTCTTAAACTAAGGTGTCCTGAAAAGTTCACAGAGCTCATCAGATCTTTAAATGACATCATGATAGTTTGGATTTGTGTCAATGGTGAACCATTTTTCTGCTATTACAAAAAAAATCTCTCTTTCTTTCAGGACATGAGATATCATGGCTCACTACAGCTTCCTGTTCTCAACAATAATTTTTCCATAATGATCCTATTTACTTTTTGTGGTATCTGTTCCTCTATCTTTTTACGTAAACTTGTCCCATATGTTACTCATTACTTTCCTCTTCTATTGCCTTCAGTGTTTACAGCCATATCACCTTCTCGTATGAACACTGAAGTTAAGCAACATCGAGCCTGGTCAGTACTTCAATGCGTGACTGCTGGGAATACCAGATACTGTAAGTGTGGTTGTGCAGATAGTGTAATGGATAAAAGCTAAAAATTTGAGATCAGAAAATGTAAAAAGAAAAAAAAAATCAATCAATCAATCTTAAAATAGGTGATTAGTGTTTTCTTCTGGTTTTCATTGGCTTGTTTATCTAAAGGATTTTAATTTAAAAGACAGGGTAAGGATGAATAGGAAAAAATATGACTGCGACTGCAAATCATATTTTTTCTCCATGTCTGTATATGACATTTGAAAATGACATTAATGACATTTATGACATTTAATGACATTTTTATAAATATGACATTTGAAAATGAGACTGACTTACACACAAGGTAGAAATTTTATTGTGTCATATTCATTATTTAAGCTGTACATTTTTATCTACATTCTACTTGTTTTTCAGGATTAGCTAGTCTAATGGATTTCAATTTAAGAGATAGGGTATTGATGAAGTCCTGGTGAGGGCGTGGGGGGTGTAGTGTGTCACATGGGAATTTTTTCTACTTTGTCATGAATTTTATTAAGTGGGAAGGCAAATCACATTTTCTCCACATGTTTTTTTTTTTATTTTTAACCATTCCACCCCAAGCAAAGCAATAAAGCCACTAAGATGCAAAATGTGGGAGAATATGAGGAAAGAAAATATTATTAAGGAGTGAATAATAAAAGAGGAGAAATTTAAAAGACTGAAGATAATGACTGACATTGCATATAAATTTTTAAAGATCAAATTTGGCTGGAAAGTAAGAAGCTAGAAGAGAGTTCCACAAGTGAGAATTGTAAGAGAAAAATCTAGCCATTTCAAATGTAAAATGATGAGACCTAACTGCCAATCTAGTACTAAGCTTAAATTCATAAAGGCTAGGTACCATAGAGGAAATTTCATCAGAACAATTACCATGAAAATATTTATAGAAAAGGCATAGGAAAGTTATATTATGGTGGTGGGAAAGGGACTGAAGCCAAGATGCCAGGTCAGGACTAATAACATTGCAGACTTTTCTTTGGATTTTATCATGTTCTAATAACTTCACCAAATCATCATGTTCTGATGAGCTTTCTTCTTTGCTGCATGTGAATTCCATAAGTGAGAAAATGAGAGAAAAAAATGTTAGCATAGAACCTACGGTTATATCAAGCCATTTTACCTGTAAAATGATAACACCTTGCTGCCAATCTAGTAGTGTGCTTAAATTCATAAAGTCTACATATGACATTTGAGAATTAAACTAACTTACTTACAAGGTAGGATTTTATTCAACTTATTATTTAGGCAGTACATTTTTACTGACATTAAATTCTTCAAACTCTCATTTACAAGTGTTAGATTAGGTCATTTAAAGAACTGGATGAGCACAAAATTAATGAAAGAGAAAAGTTGATATGACCAGCTTTATTTGAATTCAGGAGAAAGGTGAGAAATACCTGCTGGGACACATAAATCACATTCTTTAAAGTTTAGTAAGGGGCATGCATTGAGATCCTGTAGAGTAATAAATTGCAGCTTGGATTGAGGAGCCAAGTTGGTGCAAATGCCCTTTAGAAATATATGAATCCATCTCTTTTCCCCCCTCCCTCAACTATGGGTAAATAGCAGGACAGACTGATTCCTATTGCCTCAGGTGGCAACCAGTTTCGAAGAAGGACAACTCTGAATTCAAAATCTCTAAGTACGGGTAAACAGTAGAGCAGATTCAGCTCTTTAGCCTTGGATAGCAACAAGTCTAGAAGAAAAACAACTCCGAATTCAAAAACTATATGCATCCCTGGTGAAGCACATACTATACAGCTAATGAAACGATCCTGGAGTTTATATTGACTATGATCCCAACTGCAGCCGTGTGTGTGTGTGCGTGTGTGTGTGTGTGTGTGTGTGTGTGTGTGTGTGTGTGTGCGTGTAGGCAATTAATTAAAAAAATAAAAAAGAAGCATGTATTAAATGACAATGTAACTCTTGTGGTGTCCTCCCTCTAAAGAGTCTATGTTGGACTCTTCCACCTACTATAAGATTAGTAGGAGAGAAGGCCTTGGGGGAACAGTCAAGTAGATTGAATGCTGGTCAACCGACACCCACTCACTAGTCATTTAATACTCTTCTGCTGTACTTACTGTTTAATATAAAATATATCTGCAACCCTGGTTTTTGTTATTTCTTACTCATTTACTTGGTTACAACATTTTGGCGAAGAAGAATTTGAAGAAACAGACATCATGTTAAATCATAAAAATATTTTTTTGCCAGTGTCTACACTGGCAAAAAACATCTACAACAGTGGTGAAGAAAGGAATTCTAATCAAATCCTACGACATAAACCAGGGTTGCAGATATATCATATATTAAACAGTAAGTACATCAGAAGAATATTAAATGACTAGTGAGTGGGTGACCAGCTTCCTTGTGCTGTTTCTATAAATACTTTCATAGTAATTGTTCTGGTGAACTTTCCTCTGTGGTAGCTCGACTTTATGAATTTAAGTGCAGTATATGTACTGTGGTGTAATGGATATTGCGTTGGAGTGATAACTCGGAGAGCTGAGTTTGAATTCCAGTCGAGTTTGTTAGATTCATTTATGCACAAATATCCTGGGTTCTTTAGTCTTGGTTGGCAATCAGTCTATCACAGAAAGAAATGGCAACCTACAGTGGGAAAAAAAATCTGCTTGTTCAGTCATCTGTTGAAAGATACATGATCGCCCAAGTGTGTATCATGTATGGCAATTAATTGACTTACTAGATTGGCAGATGGGTCTCATCATTTTACAACTAAAATGGCTAGATGTAGCTGTAAGTTCTATGCTAACAGTTTCTTCACTCACACTTTTCACTTGTGGAATTCTCTTCTGGCTTCTTGCTTCCCAGTCAAGTTTTGGCTTGAGTGGCTTTATTGCCTTACTTGGGGTGGAAGGAAAAAAAAACAATTAATTGGACTCAAACTTATAAGTCTTTACAATATGGTTAAAACAGTCAGACAATAACCACTGAGCTACAGTGGTTTATTGTTTTTTAAACATTAAATAAATCATGAATAGTAATGTATCTCACTTTCCACTTAGTAGGTTAGACATAAAAAATACAATGAAAACATTCATATGTAGGAATGAATGAAATAAAGGACAATACAAAATAAAACTATGAAATCTCCATAAATATTCTTAAATGTCTATAATTGGTAACAGAAGCCATTGGTTTATACTAATGGCTTTCCATACTTAATACTTCTCGAATTCACTCTCACGTGGTCATGTGTGACGTCATGAGCTGCGGTGCGATTTTTGCTTCCAGTGTCTTATATGCACATGTTTATCGTTGCTTGGAAATCATCCATGTAAACAATCACAGACTATCATCACTGTCTTGTCCATATATTGCTTAATATGTTGTACAGTAATTGACATCTTTGATAATGGCTTATGTGTTTAAAGCTTAGATTGGATTAAAAAATATGTATCAATATTGTGATTTTCTTTCTTTGTTTAATGATAATGTTATTAAGCTTATCAGATGTTATGAAAAGAATTTACATAAAATAAACAGACAACACTTGTCTATATTATTTAATGAAATATATATATATATATATATATATATATATATATATATATTCCATTACTAATCAGTATTTATATTTTCTCTTTGCATAAAATCAGGAGAGCCGAATATGATTTGTTCGTTTCTAAGATGTCCCTAAAAGCAATTGAAGCTCATATCTTTTCTATATGCTTTACCAACAGCATTATTGAGATATTTATTATAAGCAGACATTTTCATTCTTTTATTGTTGCTAGTGGTTGGATGATAACATTTTAACTCTCTTCTGGCTTCTTACGTTCTAGTTAAGTTTGATTTTCAAAAATTTAAATGCAATGTCAATCATTATCTTTTTGTTGTCTTCTCAACTATTTTATTATTCTCTTTCCTTAATAATTTTTTTTATTTGTCTCATATTCCTTCACACTCAATACCCTGTTGTATCTTAGTGGCTTTATCATCTTATTTGAAGTGAAATGATTAAAAAACGTGTCCTATTGCATTATTATTCAATATTTTATAAAAAAAAAACTGGAGTTAACCTTTCTTAAACATATCTAAAAACTAAGAGAGTTAACTTTCCTTAGGTATACACAAAACGTTTACAGTTTTATGCATTGCAGTGTACAATTTACATTGATTCAATAAACTCTATCTACTGAAGGAAGCAACACAGCATCTACACTGACTATCCTAATTCAAAACAATACAATATGGTGACTGCTATAAAAAAATATCATAATTGAAAGAAAATATGATGTTTCTGACATTATTCTTTAATTGAGAATTAAAAAAAAAAAAGAAGTCAACTCTGATCTCCAGATATTCAATGGCAAGAAGTTTAATAATTTCCAAGCCTGTTTCAAGAAAAAGAAAGTAAATGAAAAATTCTTGTCTAATTTTTTTTTAATAAAGAGTTGTAATTGTAGTGTTTGTGAAAAAAAAAAACAAAATTAAAAATATCTATAAATTAAGATTTGGTAAGATGAACAAATTAGACAGATTCAAATTATAGTGGACATATATACAGGGGGGCTGCAAAAGTAGGTATACAATAAGTATGATACTGGTATTACAATAGTAGTTCTAAAATTCATTTATGCACATATTTTGTTTTGCATTACTGTATACTAACTTTTGCATCCCCTGTATTCTATTAATTAGTTTCATACAAAATAAAAACATCTTTTTATTAAAAATTATTAACATGATATCCCTACTGTGTGGATACCACCTTAAAATAAAATTTAATAAACTGATATTTTATGGAAAAACTAAAAGCTTTACCAACAGCATAAGAAACCATAAGTGAAATGCTACCAGTTTCTTCTTTTGTGCTTGTCAGAGTTAACTCCTCCTTAATTGTGTAAATTGTTCCTAGGGGACGCTCTCCCAACACTATATATACTTGATGAGACCCTGACTTGTTCTCTCTCACTTTTCATTTTTAGTGGACATTACAACAGTGTAATCTCTTGTGAA